TGCTGAACCTAGAGCCCACCTGGGAGTCCTGGACACATTATTTCACTCTGTTTCACCTTCCAGCATGAGGGATGAATCTAACGGACCACTGAATGCAGCATGCTCCACCTCAGCTCATGCTGCCTGCGCTCATGCAACATACACTAAAATCCAGTGTGAGCTTCATTGTTGAAGGAAGGTTGAACATGGGGTGTCTGTTGAGGGGGCCTGTGCTGATGAAGATGTAGAGAGAGGAAAGTGGGGGGGAGGGGGTGACACACTGGAAGGCGGGCAGAGACTTTAAATTGACATGCTTGATGTTCTTGTACGCTGTTATGATAGAGGCTCGCTCCTTTAGGCCTTCATGTGTCTGTGCTGAGGCCTTTGCCCTGCAGCAGAATGCTACAGTGGGATGGAGGGGATGATGAATATTTAGTCTTCCACAGTGTGTAAATGCAGCTATGCATTCACTTCTTAAGTCATTTTTCTTTTTCTGCTCCTCTCCTATTCTCACCCTGTCTCCCAACATATGGTGTAAGATGAGCCACACATACATTCACAAAAATGCACTGAGAACACACAGTTAAATGCTACGGAGTTCTCTAGGAGCCTTTAGACAGGATGGTCACAGTGTGTCAGCACTCCTTTCACATGGTTTTACCAATTTGAATGAAAGGTAATAGTCAGGTCAAGTCAAATCAGTTTGAATTAAGCTTACAACATCCTTTACACTTAGACCTTATACTTAGATAAGGATAACCTTTAACAGGGTTAAAACGTAAGAAGAGTAACAGAGGAGGGCTCTCTCTTTCAGGACAGACATGCGGTAGATTCCTTTTTCCTTAAACTGGGGAGACCTGTTACATTGCATTTTAAATAGGATGAAATATCACACCAGTGATGACCTTGATGATATAACTGGCAGTTGGCAAAAAGCTGTAAATAATGGCGGTGAACTTGTAGCTCTGCTGTTGCTGCCAGTTAAATCACTTTCGTGTTTTCTTTCTCAACAGCACAAAGCAAGAGTAGAAGCCATGATGTGCGACCTGGCCTCTCTTCGAAGTGTCAGGGAGTTTGCTGACTCTTTCAAAGCCAAGAAACTGTGAGTATAAACCACAGTATGAATTTTCAAAATGGGTTTTCTCGTCCTTTCTGGTATTTTTATGTACAATACTTAACTATTTTACTCAGGCTTTGTTTTAACGGCATCAAAGAGCAGACACACAAAACTCCAGAAGTTTACTTATCTGATATTTTCCATCTCTTTGCCCTTTATTTTACTAAATCAGGTCTTGCTTTCAAGCCAATCACTTCATTTTTTTATTTTAATTTTTTTATTGTTACTTCCCACATACACGGTATTTAAAGGACATCCAACCTGTTACTAATGAACGCCATATGGACAGGGCCCCAGGAGTCAGAGTGTATATTTGTGTGGATTGACATTGGTCAAACTGATGAACAGACTTCATGGCACTTATTTTGTGGTGGTCAGCTTTTACAGTAAGGCTTGCATCCTGTGACCAGTTGCGTAGCTGCTGTTTTGGGGTGATGTATTCTGTCATTCGTATTGCTCACCCATCAGCAAGTTCCTTGGCACAGGAGTGTGTGTGTGTGTGTGTGTGTGTGTGTGTGTGTGTGTGTGTGTGTGTGTGTGTGTGGGCGGTGGTGTCAGGGGAGGCCCTTGGGGAGAGGCAGGGCAGTCATCGCCCGTAGCAACCCTGGGGCAGGGTATGACCATCCAGGACACATGTCTTGAGTCACAGCCAAACCTCACGGTGGCTTCCCTCACTCTGTGCCCTATAGTTCGCTCCCATCTCTTGCATGTATCCATCCCGTCCACACTGAAGTACTGACCTCTCTTTAACCCTACTGTTCCTAGAATTCCTCTGTTTTTAGCATATCCCTTTTTGCAAATTGTTTATTTGCCTCAGTTTCTTCTTCTCTCATGTTATCTCTGTCTTTCTCTGTCTGAGTCGCTCTCTCTCTCTTTACCTCAGTATTTTGGCAAGGTTGTATTTCTTCATTACCTGTGGTGTTGGGGGGGGGAGTGGGGGAGTCCCAGGGGATGTCAGAGTACATTAATTCTCATCAGAAGGCGAACAGAGCAGAGTGGAGGCTGGGAGCTCTGAGCTGTGAATGGCACTGGGCAGCTGTCTGAGTCTAGCGCCACTCTATTACTGCACGTATGTCTTCAGGCATAACGCACACAGAAGCGTGCACACACGACACGCGCATGTATGTGTATGCATACATGGACACACGTGGACAACTCTGTGTGCAGAAACATACACACAGTTGTGTAAACACACAGAGACAAACACACACACAATAATGCTTCTGCAGCGTGTCATTGACAGGTGAAATGTAATCAGAGTCGTTTTCTTTTCCTTCTCTCGTTTCTCACTCCCTTGCTTTTAAGTGCTTTAGTCAGTGGCTTTCACGCTGCTTTGTGTTCCATTGACCCCGATTCTGCTTTAATTGCCTGTCCTTTGAAATGAAATTACCTGGATATTGATATTGTTGAACGCAGTGCAATTTCATTGGGATGTAATTGTTGGAGGACGGCACTGACAGAATGCTCCTAATACAATTTCTACTGAACGGTCCGTAATTAACACACACAATTTGTTTTCACCTGTGATTTTTTTTTTTTTTGGAAAAAAAAAACTGCGTTCATCCCGTTCTAATTTTCAAGCATATTGTGTGTAAGAGGTCTGTATCGATACATGCACCCTGCTAGACTTCACACTCGTCTACCATACTTCCATGTTGTTGCACGCTTTACAGATACATATATCTCTATATGTGTTGTCAGTGCCTGTTTCCCTGTTGCCAATAAAGTGCACTGTTAATGACCACTAGTCTGAGCCCAGCTCACATAGGCAATCTCTTCCTGCTGGCCCACATTATCATAGAGGTCAGGGGTCATACCCAGGGGGGTTATTTAAAGTAAATATATAAACCGATGTCTCCCTGTTTGGTAGTTAACACCCTCGTTTGACCAGCGCTGAGATTGCACAGTGCTCACAGTGTTGTGTGAAGTCTTAATGTGGAGAGAGGGACTTTGGTACACAGCAATAGGCCTATTAAAGACATTCATTAGACCTGCACTTATGAGAGAGGGACTAACTGGTGGGCAGTTGAATTAACAGGCCTTTTACATTACAAGCAGACTCGCCAGAGGCCCATCTGAGCTGCGTGGGGGAAATCGCTCTACTGGCCAGAGAAAAGTTGGTTATTGGAGTTTTTTGATCACAAAATATGTGATATACTTTCAGTGACATAGTTTTTTAGTCAGAGTTCCGACTTTACAGTGTAAGGTCACAGCAAAGGACGCAAGTTTATATCTTAGGAGGTGTAACTGATGTAAGGATTAGTTTAAAACAACAGCTACAGACAAAGGTTGAAAAGTTAGGTCAAGAGTTCATGCCTGCAGTGTTAATATGCAGCCCCTAGCCAGTACTTTGGGGAGAGAGCCAAGAGCTTTGCTTTGTGTAGCACCGTGTTACTGTACTTCACACTCTATTAGACAGGGGAACACCGGGCCAAAAACACCCAATGTATTTTGTCTGCTTTTAAGCTGAGAGCAATTTCAGAGCAAAAACTGACATCACAGCAGCGGCTGTGTTTTACACTTCTCTGTTTTATCCGTAAGTGCAGGTCACAAAGGTCATTTACTGTGTATATGTTGCTCCACCAAGCCATTACGTTAAACTTCCTTACCTTATTATATTTTGGGTGAAAATTTGAATATCTCACTGCCAGAGTGTGCTCTGCTGCTAATGTGCTGAGGTCGGCATTCTTTAAGTTGACTTGTGACTAGGTTTGTGCTCTTTAATGAACCTTGTGTGTTCGGAGGCCTGAAGGTGATCGTACAGTACACTCCTATGTAATAGCATGGGATGGCTCATTATAGCAAGGCATAACAATTCACACATTAATTTTCCAGCATCCAGTTTTTAATTAATCCAGTAGGCAGTCTTAAACACAGGGTACACAAATTGCCTTCAGCCTCATAATTAATTCTAATGGAAGAAATTAAAAATTGGTGGGGTGTGTTTGGATTGTTCATCTGTATTACTATGGTTTCGAGCTCGCTGGAGCGACGCTGTCACCGACAAGGATCTCTCCACCCTGACCATTCCAGCAGTTTCCACTCACTGGCACGCGATCAGGGAGTGTTTCTTGCCCACATGATGCATGCAAGAATGAAAATGCATTGTGTGTCTGTGTGTACTAAAACATATGCTTTTTTACTAACCCCTGAGTCAGTCACTTCTTATGTCATGACTTGTGTGTGTGTGTATTTTCTTTGATCTGCACTCTACTGCTCAGCCTTTCTGAGTCGATGTGTTGGTGGATTTGGTTACTCAGAGCAGTTATACAGGGCCTGCAGTGTATCAACACACATTACTTCCACCACCCTTGTGTGTTGAAACAGTTTGAGGTTGCTCTTTAATGTGTTGTTGGTTTTGGATTCCAGCCAGCTGTATTCTGTATCTACAGTACCTGTCGAGCCATGGGGAGTTGCACTGGAAACCTCTGGGTCATATCAGCATTACTGATGCTCTGTCTCTGAAGACCTCTGATGTCTGCAACACTCTGGAATAAGACACCCAGTTTCCTTTCTCTGTCTTTGCCTTTCGCTATTCCAGTCTTCTCCCTGTCTTTTATGCAGCCGTATCTTCCTTGTGTTCACTTCTAATCAATAAACAATCAAACATGTTTTTATTTTCTGCCTTCCTGTCCCCCATAGGCCCCTGCACATTCTGGTGTGTAATGCAGCAGTGTGCACTCAGCCCTGGAGCCTGACAGAAGACGGCCTGGAGTCCACCTTCCAGAGCTGCCATCTAGGTCACTTCCTCCTTGTTCAGTGTTTGCAGGATGTGCTGTGTCGCTCAGCCCCCGCCCGGGTTGTGGTTGTGTCTTCGGAGTCTCACAGGTAAAAAAGAGGGTGACTTGACAGGTTGAACATACAGTACCAGTCAAAAATCTGGTCACATCTTTTTGTTCAATTCAATGGGAAAATGTGTCCAAAGTTCTGACTGTACTTTTGCATTAGTTCTGCTTTACTCGTCACATTTTGACGACACTCCCCTTGTTCTAATATACCTTCCGACCCTGTGGTATATAAATGATCCACTCAGGTTGCTGAAAGGTAAATTAAACCCCCTGGCAGGATGCATTCACAGTTAAGTCATATTAAAATCAAACTGATTGCAGTAATATCCAGAAACTACTCTGTCTAATCCACCAACTCTTCAACTTCAGTCATGCTGTTATAGCCACCGCACTGGCTAGTTTTTACTATGAACTGATAGATCAGACTTAATGTGTATTGTCAAACATGACAGCCTCACTCAGTGAAAACTCATTTCCCTCCACACGCTGTCGCTAAGAATTAAACCTATCGTCAACGTGATGGATGGACTTATCAGCTAAAATTTACTTTGATCAAGTATGTGCGCCTTTCAGTCTGACCCCCCTGACTCAGCGACTTTCTTTTCGCTACTTCTGCCATCTGTTGTTTTTTAAGTCTGTCTTTTTGTTAAAAAACACTCTACTCCACAGACTTTTGTTTTTGCTGTCATGCAGTAGACAAGCATGATGCCTTGCAGTGATCTGTGAGCCCAAGCCCTGAGCTATGTGTTTCTGAGTCTGTGTGTGTGCGACATTGATCCTGGCCTCAGTCAGGCGGCCAAGCAGCGTGATTGATTGGCGCTCGGTAGAGTGACCTGAGACAAGGAGAACATACGCAGAGTTATTCTAGCAGATCAAACTGCAGCATGATTACAGAGTTCCTCGTATGAGTTATGTTAGACAGACTGACATGTATGAAAGGACAGGAGGGGCAGAGGGGGTGGTTTGACTCTCATTTGGGGTCGCACTACTATTACAGGCAGCAGGAAGGGTCAGAGGAAGAGAGAGTACAGAAAGCTTATTGAAAGAAAGCATGTCATGAAGGGAGTATTGGCAGCGTTTACAAAGTAAGAACACTGAGTTCACACAGGTTTTGGTGGTGTTAAAAACCAGGCTACTATTGGAGTAGGCACAGCAAGAATGGTCAGGTATTCTTGTCACTGTTTGCCCTACAACTCCATCTCTCCTTTTCTGCCTCCCCGACACATACACTCACCTTTGCTTCTCTCCTCTACGAGCAGCAGTGGCTTTAACCCCTTCAAAGAGGGCTTAAACAGGACCAGAGAGAGTCAGTTACACACTGACACAGACCAGAGGGAGGGGAAGACAATATCTCATATTACATCTTCCATACTGTCCACCTCATTCCAGACCTATATTGCATCTTTTGAAGTTGACTCCTTTTTTTTGTTATTTTCAATTTCAGCTGATTTTCCATTTATTCACTTAGCCTCCCCTCACAAGCAGTATCTGACCCCTGACCTGGTGGCATATTGTATTCCCTTAAGCCCTTTGTCTGCTTGTAAAGCGTTGACCTATAAGGGACAGGGGTAGGAGAGATGGACACATGGGTAATGGCTGGACACTTTATCAGTTTCCACCACAGGGGCTTACTGTGGAATTGACCCAGAACAGTTTTACTTTGCCCTAGTGCTGCATCAGACCTGGTCAAACAAGAGGAGATAAATTCCTTAATGAAATTACCACTGATAAATTTCAACTGCAGCGCTTATTGCTGTACTTTCTAGATATTGTCATTAACCAAACTTTGTATATTTTATTATGGAAGTTTGTGCGGATCACGTGGTAAAACATGTCTTTGACCGTAATATCACTGTAAAACCCCATTCTAACGTAACTAGTGCAACTTCAGTATAATAACATATTTAAAAAATACATTTGGTGCTTAGGCAATTGATATATCAACCTCTACTTGCTAAAGTAGTTACGAAGTTGCAACACATGAAATGAAAAGCCTGCAGATGTTGTAATTTAGCCAAGCAAGGATGTTGCGGAAGGCGACAGTAAACAAGAGGCAGTGAGCTTGTAAAATCACAACAAGGAAACCAGGTGACATTTTGATTGGTTGTTTTATAATGACTGGATTAATATGTAGGATGTGTTCCACAAGTTTGCAGTTTCCTTTTTTTCTCTCTCACTCACACACACACGATATACAAGGAGTTTAGTTTTCGTGTCCATGTATTGTGATGATATTGTGTGACTGCATAATAACACAATGAGTAGTGTAATGTTTAAGGGGCCTTGTCAAACATCTGGAGTTTAACAGCTCTGTCGCAGGCAATTAAAGAACATCATGTCACATCTTTTGATTTGTATGCAGCCAGCATCGCACATCTGCTGGTCGAAAGCCAGCACACAGACACACACACACACACACACACACGCGCGCATTCTAACTCTTCTGTGTTTCAGGTTCACGGATCTATTGGACTCATGTGGCAAGTTGGACTTGGCCCTGTTGTCTCCCCCAAAGACGGCCTACTGGTCCATGCAGGCTTACAATCGGGCCAAACTCTGTAACATCCTCTTCAGCAATGAGCTCCACCGCCGCCTCTCACCTCATGGTGTCACCTCCAACTCAGTGCATCCTGGGAACATGATGTATACCTCCATTCACCGGAACTGGTGGCTGATGACCTTTCTCTTCATGCTGGTTAGGCCTTTCACAAAGTCTATGGTAAGGGACAAAACAACTGTGGAAATGTGTTATATAGCTTTGTGACTGCACACGCTAGCATGACCTTGCCGATGGCCACTGGTAACTTTTCATTCCACCAGAGTAGCTACAGTATTTTTCTGCATAGGAAGCAAGTCAGTGAATTTACCACACTATATTATTATCTTCTTTTAAAACAGATGTGTCCCTTACTCAGCCTTTATATTTGTTTTGGCACATTCCTGCGAGGAAAAGGATGGAGAGGGGTTGAACTGCGTGTTCAGGGCTTGGTGAGAAAGTCTATGTCTCACAGATAGAGATATTCTTTGGTTTGCTTTCCTCTTCCTTGTGTCACTGTTTATTTAACTCTGAGAGACCTTTCCCCTGTCCTCGCACAGGGTAGGTGATATTCCAGATCCAGAGTACTATGAAGTTATAGTGAATGCTCTGCACAAACTTAAGTCTCTACTTCTATGCAGTCATGTATGTTAGGGTACTAAGATAATAAGCTCTCTGCTAAATCTCTTTTTACCATATACCCCATTCCCACCAGGAGAACCACTTACCAGATATTTTCAGATGGATTATCTTAAGTTCTGAATCATCTTAGCAGACTTGCAGGACTTGCCTGAAAGCAGACACACAGTAAAGACATTGTGTCCTCTGGGAGATACAAAGAGGAGAGGCCAGGTGCTGTGTTGCAGAGATCTGTTTACAAGTGTAATTTTGGTGCAACATTTAAATCAGATGCCCTCAGAAATTTGACTCTTTGTCATGATAGTGAGAGTTCAGTATGTGTGGTGCTCCTTAGTGTCTGAGGAGAAGACCTGTTAACTGTATTTTGGAGTATTGTCATGGGGGTGCCACACCTGCCAGAGTCAAACTGTGATGCTTGTCAGTATTAATGAATGAAAAATGAACAATAACGACAAACTGTTGCCTTAAATACAACAAACATTTTTTTCTCTGGTGCTTTATAGTTGATTGTTCAAATTAGTTTTATTTGATATCATGCATGCACCATGATATTTGCATTCATTTCTTCAACTGTGTTGTTGTGGAGTACTTGGCATGATTCACCTCAGTGGGGGGGGGGGCACTGTGCAGCAGCGATGTCTCTGGCCAGGAGTAAATAAGGAGCACAGGCAAGGCTGGGTAAAGAAAGCACTATGTTTGTCTCATTTTTACACAATCTGGCCCTGGGTATTGTCGGTTAATGGAGGCAACACTTTGAGGAACTCAAACTCAATTGGCACAGCCTCTTCAGTGAACACTGAGCTTTGACCATCTCACATTTTTAACCAAAGCATTCTTTATTTAGTTATACCTTGTTTGCATTGGGATTATTTCCAACAGAAATCAGTATGCGAACACGTAGTATCTGTTGTTGTCAGTGCCATCCAGTTGGATCGTAAGATATAAGAGGACTTACTGTGAAGTTTTCTTCTCAAAGCAGTAGCACCTATAGTACAGCTCAGAGTGGCAGCAGGGGGGGGGGGCCTGTGGGTGTACAAGGAATGAGTGCATGAGAGTGTTCACAGCACATCTGTGTGCTTAAGGGATGATGTTAGCTGCCTGAGGTTAACTTCATCACACACTTTTGATATAAAGGCAAAATCTGGCACTGTGATTTATCAGTCTGTATTGTGTCCTCTGCTCTTTAAAGATTTTCCAGCGGATAGCAGCGCTCTACCATTTAGGCTCCACAGCCTCGTAACAGATGCTTTAGTCTATTTAATCTTTCCTTTAGCTACACTTCACACTTTATCAATTTAGTGTTTGCACCGAATGGAAAATGTGACGTGTTGAAAGGCAGCACGGTAGAGTTCCAGTGACGTGTTATTCTGATCCGTCATGTTTGACAGACACAAGGCCTCGGGCTATCATTCATCTCTCCTTCTTCTGACATAGGATGAGAGATGAGAGGAACTGCTCCTCAGCATCTTTCACAAAATGCCAAGCTGAACATTTCCTCATTTTGACTGTTTCTGTCACAAAGCCCTCCTTGTTTTCCTCCCTCTATACCATACCTAACATTTTTCTTAGATCTTTTTTCATCACTTGTTGCCTTGTTTCAATTTATTATCTGATTTGTGTCAGTTTTAGCTGGACCCAAATTTGTGAAACGCTCCTTTTAACCAGATGATTTGGAAGTGTCCAGTCGAGCGGGTGATGCTTCTGCGTTCTTTCTGTGTATAAGGGAGGGATGTTAACATTTTGGATGCGAGCACACAGATGCAATTAGCAGAGCCATTTCTTCTCCAGAATGAGAATGGCTCCTCTACACATGGTTAATTAATGTAGTGTAGATGTTAGTAAATATTAAAGGACAAAGGTAGAGCTAGTAATTAAATTCTGCTATGCTGACACAGCGATTAACTAAAACTCATGTCTGATAAAGGCCACACACACGTGCAGATACACAGGCAGGCACACCCATAAGCTGAGCATTTGCTCTTATTTAAATCTGGGGTTGATAAGGCCCCTGAAAGTGTATCCTCTTTAAAATCCCACCCCTCACTCCTTCTGCCCCCACATTAAGGGCTTAATAAAACAGTGATATTATTTCAGTTATTGGTTGCAGGGATATGAAGATGGTATCGCTTTAATTGCTTGCGTACGCTTGCGGGATCCATGGAGATTGTTCTGGGATGCAAACATAAGCAGAATGTTGATTCCAAAAAACAATCACAGAGCCCCCATGTGTGTTCTTGTGCAAATAACCAGCCTCTCATTTAAAACATAGGGTTGATTTATAGGAGCACAGGTGGAGTGATGTACAGTAGTCCTACATGAGTAGACACGCACACATGGACAAGCACACACATGAATTTACAATATTGAGACTACTGAAACACCTGGAACTACATGTGGTCCTAAATCTTCAATTTCATTGTTGCAGCAAAGGTGAGGAATGTTATCAAGCCATATGCTCTATTCATGGTCATCTGGTCCTGTTCATGCCTTCCTCCCTCATTAACTGTGCTTCACACTCTCTTACTTTATCAGCTCTTCACTCCACTTTTATCTTTTTGATGCTGTATTTTGTTCTCATATTGCCAAATATACTTTGACTTCCTCAAGTTTGCATGCTTTGTGTCGTGGTCTGTACTGAGGGAAAGAAACTTCTCTATTAGCAGGGAGCACAGCCCACTCTGCTATTGATGTACAGAGCTGATTCTGTTTTGCTGAGTTGAGAAAGGCATCTATAAAGAGCCATGACATTTTAATCAGCCAAACTATCTCTCACTAACATCATGTTCCCCTCCCCATGCCTTGATCTACTTATCAGAGATTGTGCGACCAGGCCTGTAACTCCTGTTTCTTTAATTCAGCGTGTTTAGAGTGGGAGTTTTCCCTGTGTCCTTTGGGGTGATTATCAATGTCGAACAATCTGGCCTGCAGTGGTGTGTGTGTGTGTGTGTGTGTGTGTGTGTGTGTGTGTGTGAGTGAGTGAGTGAGAACAAGAGAGGCAAAAAAACAGCTGTTATCACAATTCTGCAATTTAGTTGCAGCATTTTAATGATCTAAATTTGATTGTCACAGATTTTCGTTGATGTATTTGATCTAAGATAGTGAACTTTTTGTGCCTTTCTACATCATGCATATACATTAGACAATACACCGTGAACCATCATTTGGGTCGGACACACATTTAAACAGCATGTAATGAATTTTAGTGACTGTTGCATTTATTAGTTGGGCTGTAACCTTTGTGAAGTTGTCACCGTCCTGTCATGCTGTAACACTGACCCCGTGACATTTTGTTGACTGACTGATTGCTCCCTCAAGATTAGTGTACCCTCAGGCTCTGAGCATCTGCACCGGGCATATACTCATCAGATCTATACCTTAACTATAGGCACTGACCGTGCTGTGCTGCATGAAGATCAGTGTGGGCAGTGACTCCGGCACCTCATCATCCACTGTAATGGGTAGAAAGAAGGGAGGGGGTGTTGTGAGCACAGGCCTAAGAGGCTTTGCTAGTCCAATCAGACACTCCAGTCCCCCTGGGGGCGGGTTTCATCAGTGCTCTCGCTTGGTCCCTAGCTTCTTAGTGTTTTAGCCTGATTGTTTTACCCAGGATCCTGCCTCGGGCACCAGGCCACCTTTTTACATATGCACAGGCTGAACTTTTGACCAGGCACCAGCAGTCAGGGCTGTATTAGAAAAACGGTTGTTCAGTCAGGAGTAGTGGGACCACTAGTGCCTCCTCTGCTGAGCCTTGCATACTGTGACCAGGAGTTCTATTCTGCACCTTGGAGGTTGACCCCAGAGACAGATCCTGCAATAAAGACATCAACATTACCATATAACAGACAGATTGGTGCTGTATGCAAGCGCTGGAGCCAGTGTTCTTTATACATTTCTCTCCTGCAGGCAGTTGTAAGGTCAGGTGCTCTATCTGCTGTCTGGTGTGGCACACAGTCACAGTGGCTCTGCTGCACACCCAAGCAACCTGTGTGTTGTGTGTGGTGCTTAACCAAGTGGAAAGAAAGAGGAGCAGAGGTCCCAATATCCACCAACCCCCCCTCCATTGTGGGGTTAGATGAGCTGCCAGGCCCTTGTAATAGAGTCCTCTTGGATGATTAGGAGCTACACAGGAGGCGGTCAGCTCCAGTCTGACTCAGTGGTGTAGACAGAACATTACATATTATGCCAACTGGTACAGTATGAGGTTCACATACTTAAAGTGAACTTCTGTGATGATGCACTGACTTCGTTTAGAAGCCACATTCTAGATCATTTTTGAGGTACTAAATATAATGAATGTGAAATTCCTGCCAGATCTCCCCTGCTGTGCTGCTGCACAGTGGATGGGAGAGAGAGAGAAAGAGAGAGAGAGACACACACACACACACACACACACACACACACACGGGAAAAGAAAAATGTGTTGGTGTGGGGATGGATAAAAGCAGAAAATCCCATTTGGCTCTATTGACATGTGTGTTCCTGCCCAATCCTGTTACCGGGATTATTGTCCACAGAGATACCATTTCATTAAAGAAAACACACGT